CTCGCTTGTCGTCCCAGTCAATAGTCCTGACGACGTCGTCCCCGAAGCTGGTGACGATGTAGCTGTTCCCGGTGGGGAGAGCGGTATCCCCTGGAAGAACAGAAGGGTAGCCCTGAACGCTGGCACGGCTGGGGGCTATCGGCTCTCCTGGGTCCCTGCTGCCTCGGCACATGTCCGGGGGCTGCCCCGCCCGAGCGTCAGGTCCCTCCCCGACCGCCTCTCTCCACAAGCGGGCTGCCCCATGGGACGTCCCAGCCCAACGGCCCTTCGGCACCAGCTGGGTCTCACTGACAGCATGGCCGAGAGGGCCGGGCCCAGACAGGAGACACCAGCCTGGTACCCGGCAGGGTGAGGCCAGGGGTGCATCTGGCACAAGGCGCAGGGAAGTAACCGTCCCCCCTGTCTAGCGACACTGTCTCCTTTCCCCGTCCCCTCTGGGCTCGGCCTGTCAGTCGAGTGTTTCAGGGTGTCCTCCCCTCCCCCATCAGACCCCAACTCCTTCTGGGTGGGACCATTTCTGTGCTGCCAAGGAAGGGGTCAGGCTGTGGCTGCCCCATCACAACAGGGCACAGCAGGGACCCTCAGGTGGGGGAGGGGAACGGAACAGATTGTTCTCTGCACAGCGGCAATTGTCCCCTGGATTATCCCCCAGCAGCTTGGGGGTGTTTCCCCAATTCCCTCTCCCAAACCCTGCAGTTTCAGAGGCTGATCCACAGTCTTGCCAGCTCCCAAATCCATGGGTCGAGGTGATCTGATCCCACTGCAGCTGGCTGTCGGGCCTGGCTTGTGCCAAGCTCAGCCCAGCTTTTACTCCTGGAGGAATTCTGCGCCACTGCTCACGCGCAGCATTCATGTCCCCGACAGATTTTTTTTTCCTCCCCAGAAAATACATTCTGCCAGAGAGGCGCTGCATTTATGCCTTTCGCCCACTAGGGGCTGCTGTGGCAGCAGAACAGAGGGCAGCCGGCTTACCGGCTGTAGCGGTCAAGAGCCGACAGGGAGGCGACGCTGCGTTCTTTACAGCGCCCTGCCCGTAGGGCCAAGTGAATAGGCACAGGATGTGGGTGGGACACAGACAGAGCGGGACACACAGGGCTGCTGGGGATCACACAGACTGGGGTTCAGAAAGGCCAGTCGAGGGGGACAGACTCAGGCAGGGGCTGAATGGAAGCGGGGGAGCAGGAACACATGGGGACGGAGGTGGGGGGTGCAGGGACACATGGGGACAGGGTAGATGCACCTGACTGAATGGGAGAGGTTAGGGGTCAGGCAGAGTCTGCATGGGGGAGGTTCCCCAACTCCCTAACAATCCCCCTGCCCCACAAAAAAACCCTGCCTATATTTCTTCCCCCCACACCCAACAACTCTCCAAGTTCACTCCCAGGCTCCTTCCCTCTCCCTCAGCCCCTCCATTACCCCTGACTCCCCCAAGCCTTTGCACTGCTTCTGAGGGGGGCAGGAAATATGGTTCCATATTATAGTTTAAATGAATTATTACTCAGAATTCTGTATTAATAAGCCTAGGAAGGAATTTATTTGTCAAAAAACATTTCTTGAATCTTTTTTGTCGTCTGTATTGTTACACTTATTTCTTGACAGGTATTTTGAAATAAATTACCAAAATAATTGAAATTGGCATGATTGTACTGTGTTATTTTGACAAATAAAATATACAGAATTTTAAAATACTGTGCACAGAATTTTTAATTTCTTGGCTCAGAATTCCCCCAGGAGTAAGCTTTGACGCGACGGGACTGGAGACTGGAATATTTTGCCTTTTACCGGGACGTCTCCTCTCTATCAGATCTGAGGGGAGTGACACGTTGGAGCCCATCCGTCCCAGGGGGTCAAGGAAATCTCTTCCCACTCATGCCAGGTCCTGCAGAGCCCGAGTCACCGTATCCATTGCCCTGCCCTTCCAGAGACCCCTTCCCCTCACCCCACCGTCTCCTCTGCCCTGCACTCCTCACTCCTCTGGTCCCACATGGGCACTGCCACCCTGACGGCCCGTCTGGCCCCGTCCCCTGAGAGCAGAATCCAGCCCATCATTACTCTCTTTGATCCGGTCCCTGGGGTGACCTGCCTCTGCGCAGAACGGGACTAAGAACGACTGGAACCAGGGTGGACCCATGTCTCTTTCAGCACGTTGACGGCCCAGTGGGTTTGCTCTGATCTCAGAAGCTGTAAGAGGGTCTCTGTGGCCCTCTAAGCTTTGTGGTTTCTGTGCAGCGTCCCAGTAAGATGCATCCTATTGTGAATGTTCAACTTACCTGAGCGCATGGGAAGCCCTGGCCTGGGGCGCTCTGAGCCCATCGGCTGGGGATAGCCCACTGAGGGTGCATATCCTCCGGGCACCAGGTAGCCCCCAGCGCAGGCTGCAGGCTGCACAGAGGCCCCAGGATCACCCCCCGGCTGTGGGTACCCCCGAGGCTGCAGGTACCCCACAGCGGAGGGTCCCAGCTGCGAGTAGTCCTCAGGCTGCACCGGGATGAGGTGGTTCTTGTCACTGTAGGGAGGGGGATCGCACGGGTATGACATGGTGCTGCCGTAAGGTTCAGGCGGTCTTTCTCTGCACCTGGAGGCGGGAGAGAAAAAACCCCAGTTACGGTCTCCGCTCACTGCCTGGATCCGACACCTGGAGTCCAGCTCAGAGCAGATCCCCCCAATGGGAACCCTCCTTCCAAGATGCCCAGGGCAATATTTCTGCCTGGTCAATAAGAGAGACCCACCACAAGGCAGATCCTGGTAACCAAAGAGTCAATTCAATGCGTGCATCTTAAATGCCAACGATCAGCTAATTCATCTTTGCCCCGGGGCCCCAGATAGCGAATCGCTCTCCCCAAGTCCTTCCGGGGTTCAGATCAAGTGATCTCTGCATGCAGCGGTGGGGCAACAATTCTGTAACGTCACAGCCAGCGAGCACAGGTTGGGAGAGACAGGGCCATGGAGCCAGCTAACAGGAACCCTGGTACGAATGGCCCCGAATCCCTAACAGTGGCTTCATGTCACGAGAGGCCAGGAGCCCTTTAAACCCTCCTCACTGCAGCTGGACACAGACAGGAGACTGACAACAGAGGCAGCATTTTCGACAGGGG